ATCAGGTAAGGATGTCCTGACTCTTAAGTCTACGGATCCCTTGATTCTTTTAGATCTTGTTGTCCAGTCACATTAGGTATATGTTGAGACACATAAGTGTTTTCTCTTTGAAAAACAATTTGAGGTCGGGTGCAGTGGCTCACGCCTGTAATCCCAGCACTTTGGGAAGACAAGGCAGGCGGATCATGAGGTTAAGAGATCGAGAACATCCTGGCCAACACAGGGAAACTCCGTCTCTACTAAAAATATAAAAATTAGCTGGGCATGGTAGCATGTGCCTATAGTCCTAGCTAGTCAGGAGGCTGAGGCAGGAGAATCGCTTGAACCTGGGAGGCGGAGGTTGCAGTGAGCTGAGATCACACCACTGCACTCCAGCCTGGCAACAGAGCAAGACTCCGTCAAAAAAAAAAAAAGAAGAAAGAAAGAAAAACAATTTGAAATCCCTCAAGTTTACCATAAGAAAGACTCCCTATAGAGATCAAGCTGTTTCCCAGCCCAGGAGATAATCATGAGAGATACTTAACTCAAGACAGGTATTCCCGTATTAGGTAAAGCAGTCAGCAACTTCACAGGAAAACATAAAGCTTAAGTTAGTTGAAATGTGAAACATCTGAAGTTGAACCGTCTGGCTCATAAAGAGCTTTGCCTGTTTTGGTGAGCAAAGAGAAATAATCTTCATGCATAGAATCCTGATTTCTTCTGGAGTGCCAACTAATACATCTTTTATTTTAGCCCCAACCCTTTTTTTTTTTTTTTTTTTGAGACAGGGTTTCACTCTGTCACCCAGGATGGAGTGCAGTGGTGTGATCAAAACTCACCACAGCCTCGACCTCCCCCATCTCAGGTGATACTTTCACCTCAGCCTCCCAAGTAGCAGGGCCTACAGGTATGCACCATCACACCCTGCTAATTTTTGTATTTTTTTTACAGAGATGGGGGGGTTTCACCATGTTGCCCAGGTTGGTCTCGAACTCCTGGCCTCAAGCAATCCACTGGCCTCAGCCTCCCAAAGTGCTGGAATTACAGGCGTGAGCCACCGCACCCAACCTTAAATGTTTCTGTAGCGACTAAGTCTCACTATGTTGCCCAGGCTGGTCTCAAACTACTCGGCTCAAGCAATCCTCTCATCTTGACCTCATAAAGTGCTAGGATTACAGGCATGAGCCACTAAGCCTAGCCTTATTTTAGCTTCTTGGCTAAAATAAGGGAAACAGAACTTTGTCAGAGTGACATGCAAAAAAATTGAAATATATCTCTTTTCTCTCTAGAAACACTAAAGCTAAGGAAATAAAACATGTAGCCATTTAAAATGCTGCAATCGTGAAGTCCAACGTCTTAAGAGCGCCTCTCATTTTGCCCCCTCCCCGTGGGACTGTGACAACTTAGCAGCAGCAGGACATGTCTTAAGCCAAGACGTAAGGAAGGAAGAATTCCTTGCTGGACCTCACAAAAACAACCCGAGACCCATTAACACTTGTATCTCTAAAAGAACTGGTAGTGGGACCATAACAACAGAGGCAGGAACTTGGCCAAAGAACTCTAACCAGGCCAGACAGCCAGACAGTAAAAGGGCATTTGTAAGGGATGCCCCTATCACTGCCCTCTGCTATGGCCACACAAGAGGAATTCAGGAAACATGAAAAACATAAAACCACCTCCCTCCAAAGCTTCTAAATCTCCATCCCATTTTCAGCACTGGAAAAATCATACATAAACAAGGTTTTTTCATACTAACAGAGCCTAATGTTTATTCTTTCTTTTTTTTTTTTTGAGACAGAGTTTCGCTCTTGTTGCCCAGGCTGGAGAGAATGGAGTGATCTCGGCTCACCACAACTTCCGCCTACCGGGCTCAAGTGATTCTCCTGCCTTAGCCTCCGAGTAGCTGGGGCTACAGGCATGCGCCACCACGTGTGGCTATTTTTTTTTTTCTATTTTTAGTAGAGATGGGGTTTCTCCATGTTGGTCAGGCTGGTCTCGAACTCCCGACCTCAGGTGATCAGCCTGCTTCGGCCTCCCCAAGTGCTGGGATTACAGGCGTGAGCCACCACGCCTGGCCAATGTTTATTCTTCTAAGGATGTCTGATATGGCAAAAAGTTAAACTGATTTTTTTGTTTATTTAACTTATTTTATTTTTTTTTTTGAGTCTCGCTGCATGGCCCAGGCTGGAGTGCAGTGGTGTGACCTTGGCTCACTGCAACCTCCGCCTCCCGGCGGGTTCAAGAGACTCTCCTGCCTCAGTCTCCCGATTAGCTGGGATTACAGGCGCCCACCACCACGCCCAGCTATTTTTTGTATTTTTAGTAGAGATGGGGTTTCGCCATGTCGGCCAGGCTGGTCTTGAACTCCAGACCTCATGATCCGCCCACCTCAGCCTCCAAAAATGCTGAGATTATAGGCGTGAGCCACCGCGCCCAGCCTTATTTTCCTTTTGACTTGTGCACAAAAGTGGTATATAATAAACATGTTTAATTCTGTCGAAAAGAGTGCTATATATGAGAAACATAAAAGTCTGATAAGAATGCATTTTTTTCTTTTTTTAATGTAACTTTTTTTTTTTTGAGATGGAGTTTTGCTCTTGTTGCCAAGGCTGGAGTGCAATGGCATGATCTCCCCTCACTGCAACCTCCACCTCCTAGGTTCAATCAATTCTCCCACCTCAGCCTCCCGACTAGCTGGGATTACAGGTGTGCGTCACCACGCCCGGCTACTTTTTGTATTTTTAGTAGAGACAGGATTTCACCGTATTAGTCACGCTGGTTTCGAACTCCTGACCTCAGGTGATCCACCTGCCTTGGCCTCCCAAAGTGCTGGGATTACAGGTGTGAGCCACCACGCCCAGCCTTTTTCCTTTTTTAATTAATTTTTTTCTCTCACTATTTGAACTACAGGGATAATACATGTTGTCATGTTTAATTTATAGTTATATTTTCTTAGTGACAGATAAAATAATTTGCATTCTGCAATCAACGACTTTTTTTCTTGAGATGGAATCTCACTCTGTCACCCAGGCTGGAGTGCAATGGCACGATCTCAGTTCACTGCAACCTCCACCTCCTGAGTTCAAGCAATTCTCCTGCCTCAGCCTCCTGTGTAACTGGGATTACATGTGCGTGCCATCACGCCCAGCTAATTTTTGTATTTTTAATGGAGACAGGGTTCTGCCACGTTGGCCACGCTGGTCTCAAACGCCTGACCCCAGCTGACCCACCTGCCTCGGCCTCCCAAAGTGCTGGGATTACAGGCTACTTAAGTAATAAGGTAGTTTACCTTATTTTGTTGTACTGCTATAAAATACCATGTTTTGTGTGATGTGGTCACATTACAGCATAACCTATTTTATTATGCGTCTTCAGGTTCATTTACTCCAATTTTATGATAGAATATCCTCTAAGGCTGTGATTGAAGAAATGTATTTGCTTTAGATAGGAGGTTTTGAAATGAAGTCCAAAATAGGGACACTCTACATCAGAGATTGACAATGAGTAGGATGAATTTTTTAAATTACCTATGGCCAGCCTGGTGCAGTGGCTCACGCCTGTAATCCCAGCATTTTGGGAGGCCGAGGCAGGAGGATCACGAGGTCAGGAGATGGAGACCATCCTGGCTAACACGGTGAAACCTCGTCTCTACTAAAAATAAAAATAAATAAAAAAAAATTAAAAAAAAAAAATTAGCCGGGCATGGTGGGCACCTGTAGTCCCAGCTACTGGGGAGGCTGAGGCAGGAGAATGGTGTGAACCCAGGAGGCGGAGCTTGCAGTGAGCTGAGATCATGCCACCACACTCCAGCCTGGGCGACAGAGCGAGACTCCGTCTCAAAAAATTAAAAATAAATAAATAAATAAATTACCTATGGCCAAATCCCTATTTATAATATAAAGAAACACTGAACTCTTTCCAAATCCAAGTAACTCTCTACAATTAATTAAGCTCTGTCTGCACTGGGAGAAATTTTGTTTCCCATTGCAGCTCTTTAATGATGTATAAGGGTTGATGATGCTTAACTTTAAATATCTAGAAAGAAGCAGGAACAACATGAAAGCTCAAAATTAAGAACAGAGACTGGACTCTGGTGTCCTGGCTTCTCTGATATCCCAGGGACCTATTACACTTTGTCAGGCCCCCCAGCTCCCAACAGATCAGGAACTTGAGACACTGGCTGTGGTAACAACCTTCAAGCTTGATAACTATTCATGGCCTCCGTTCTTATATTTCTAACTCATCAGATAGTAAAAATCTCAGAATCCTGATTTCAGATCTCATGAACTAATTCTACATCACCACCTCAAATTACCCAGCCTGAAGACATAACGGGCTTGGTATGAAAATATAAAGTATGTGGGAATAAGACTGAGGGCACTGTAGGCATCTTGAACAAAAGGGTCAGATTAACCTGCAGCTGATAAGGAAAGGGCTCCAAACTTCTAGAACCTTCTTGTCAATTCTGCTTTAGTATTAGAACACGTATGACTACCCACAACTCTGTCCCAACCCCATTTCCAATAATCTGGCCTGTTGCCAGAATCTAGAGCGTTCTCGAAAACCACTCACTCAGCAGCTCCCTTGGCTAGTCCGACTGGCAGTCTCGAACCACTGCGGCTGCTTCGGTGTGCCAACAGCGCCCAAGCAGTTGCCCTCTTCCTTGGTGCTTAACTTAAGAAAGAACAGTGCTGGGAAGGATAAAGATCACCCAGGAAGGATAGGGGAAGAGGAGTCTGACACAGAGAACACGAGATAAGCCCCTCGCTCTTCCCTTTTTCTCTATCATCCTTGACTTCTGGGATAACCGGGGGCAACCAGGTCAATTATGGAGACACACAATCACCTCGAACCCAGACTAGTGATCGAAAAGGAAAACGGGGGGAGGAGAGCAAAGGTTTTAGAGATGGAAAGTGCAGACAGGCAACAATGCACAGAAGTTAACGAGAAGGAGGGAGTCAGGGGCGATGTAAGGAAGTCGTCATCGACGCCGCGCCGCCCCCCCCCCCCTCGCACCAGACCTCCGAAATTGCCCTCCGAGACTCGGGCTCTCCTATAAGGACGATCGTCCTCTCAGCTGGAGAAGAAGGCCATGCCTCAGCTCCTTCGCCAGGCGGAAGCGGGAGAGGAAGGCCGACCCCCAAGAGCGCCCCTTCAGGGGGTCCATCCGGCCTTGATCTCAGATTGGGGGGGGGTTTGCGTAGGGCGGGGCATCGCCTCAACAGCTGGGGGCTGCATCATGGCAGGAACGGGTTTCCCTGAGCCACGGAGCTGCAGCTTGCCTCCTCTACTACCCTGCTACCCGGTTACCTCTTCGCCTCTTCGTCGTCGAGCAGCTCTGGCTCGGTCGCCGCCATTACCACATCGCACTCCGCGGCAGCCGCCATCTTACCGCCGGGACCAGAGAGCTGGGTGGGAGGCCGGCGGTGAAGAGCACTTCCGGTTGGAGCATAGAGCAGCTCAGCGGCGCCTCGCCCAGAAGGGCTCCCTCGGGCTCGTCTACCAGAGAGAGGCTCCGCTTGGGGCCAGAGCGGCCTCCCGTCCCCGGATGTCCAGGGTGGTCTCCGCGCCGGGGCGGGAGCCCAGGGACTGTGCCTGTGCGTAGGCGGCGCCACTTTACCCGTGGATGGGAATGGAGGTGTACGGGTGGTAGCCTCTCTAGGGCTTGATTGGTTTCAGTATTCCAAGAGCCTCGTTGCCATAGCAACTTCCAATCCTAGAGAGTCTTCCTTAAAGGCTCCGTGGAGTCTGGGTTGGGTGGGGACCAGGTGACCCAAGACTGTAGGGAAAGAGTCCCCACTGCTACCTTTCCGACCTTGGAGTGTGTTCACAGCTTCTTCCCGGGAAAGGCAAGAGCCACTCTGAGCCCAGTTCCCCCAGCTTTCATCGTTCTCTGGAAGCCCTACCCAATCAAGCCAGGGGAACGTAGGGCGTCTTCATCCTGCGCCTTTCATCCACTCCGGATCTCCAAACACCAACTGGTTCATCACCCTAATGACGCTGACCCTTTTACGAGGCTGCTTTCATGTCAGCCGCCTGGGAGTGCCATCTCAGCATTAAGCCTAGGAAAGCTGACACATGGCGCCCCAGACCCTGCCCTGGAGTTTATAAGGAAGCTCGCTGGGTGAGGTCCCTGCTCTTGTGTCCCCATTACTCCTACCTCTTATATAAACTCTCTACTCATCACGCTTGTCTTGCCGAATGCGGTCTGGATTGAGAACTCACAGGGGACAAGGGCACAGTTTAATTGTCTTGTTATTCCCTCACCCAAGCCACTATTTGTGGAGCTGAATTGAATTGGAGCTTTCTGGGGTTAAATTGGAGGCGTATTAGGAGTAGCTTTACAATGTAAAGCTAAGAGTAGCTAAAATGAGAAGAGGGCAAAGGAATTTTTAAAAGGATTTACCTGTTTCTTCCAGGAAAACAGCATGTGCCAATGCTCCTACCCTGCCTATCCCAGTGTGGAGGGAACTGAAACCACAGCGACCACTGAGTAGGGAGGGATAGGACAAGCTTACTAGGTTGGAAAGGAGGGGTCATTCGTTGAGCCAATCACTCAATAGCCCTTTCCAAAACGCCTACTTTGTGCTAGGTTGTGAGGGCACAAGACTTACAGACCACCTGCCCTGCCTGTCAGTGGCTCATAGTCCAGTCTAATGCTAGCCAACCTGTCTCACCATCTTCCCACTTTATGTTCTAAGGCAACTCATTTATTCCCACAGCTTTACTTCCATCTGTTGATGACTCTCAACTCTACATATCTCCAACCTAGACCTTTCTTCAGCTTCCACAGCTGCATATCCAACTATCTACTGGATATCTCTTGTATGTTTCACAAATCCCCAAAGCTTACCATATTTAAACTTAACTTTTCATTGTCTACCTACACCTGAACAACAGAAAAAACAAATGCTGGATGTAATTATTATCTTTCCTAAATTCCATATCTTGTTAAATGGATTAAACCATCCTCACTCTTGGCTTCCAATTTGTTGCTCAGTTTTGTTGATTCTCTTACCAAATATTTCCCAAATCCATCTCCGTTTTTCCATCCCGATTCAGGCACTCATCATATTTTTAAATCTTGGAATAGGCTGGGCATGGTGGCATGCATCTGTAGTCCCAGCTACTTGGGAGGCTGAGGCAGGAGGATCACTTGAGCACAGGAGTTAGAGGCTACAGTGAGCTATGAGCACACCAGTGTACTCCAGCATGGAGAAAAGAGTAAGACCCTGTCCCTAAAAACAAAAAACGGCAACAACAAAGCAACAGAAAAAAAAAAAACAAAAAAAAAACTTGGAATACAGCAATAGTCTCCTAATCGGTCCCTAATTTCATCTCTGTCCAGTCTTGCCTCTTCTGCCAGAGTGACCTTCCTCAGGGACTGATCATGTCACTTCATTGGCAATGGCTTTCCATTGCCGTCAGTTTGATCTCTTTGGCCTACCACACAAAGCCTTTGATTATCTGTTTCTTTTATTTTTTTTTAATGATTTAATTTGAGTACCAGTATTTAGGTCCTTTCTACCACCAATATTGAACCCAAGTTCTCATAGTTCCAGAAAATGCCATGACTTGTAGCCATGTTTCCTCCACCCTAGGACACCCTTTCCCCCAAGCTCTTCAGTGTCTGCTGACTCAAAGTTAAATGCCATTTTGCTGTGCCCCACAGCACCTCAGTAATTGTTAGACATCTAGCTTCTCTAGACCGTGAGTTCTGATGGGCAGCCACCGTATCTAACTCGTCCACTTTCTCTCAGTATATGGCCCTGCACATGGCACAGACAGAGAAGATGCTCAGAAAACATTCGACGGATGAATGATTGAGTAAACGAAGAGTTACTGTACCCTGATCGCCTTTAGAGGGAGAACATTTGGGCCTCAGAGACACCAGGACAACCAGCGGCCCGCGTCCAGGGAGTCTAGAACCTTGGGTTCCCGCACACACCCAGGCCAGGTCGTGGCCGTCATTCCCCCGCCGACCTCTGGGGGAGCTGCGCGGTCCGCACCCGTTCTCCGCTGCCGGAATTCGTCTTGTCTGACGGAAGCTGGGGAGAGGGCAGGCGGCGGGGGCGGGGCCCGGCAGAGCCTACACCGACCCGGGAGGAAGACAATCCTGTGCGGCGGCGCTGCCCCTCCCCTGGTCCCCGCGCGCTCCAAGGGCCTGGCTTGGTGCTGCGGGGCCCCCGGGAGGTACGGAGCTGGGAGGCGAGGCTCGTCCGGCGCTAGGATCGGCCTCCGCCCCCGGGCCGCTTTAGGTGGCTGGTCTCTGCCTCTCATTCATATGGGGGCTCCCCCGTGGGAAAATCTGTGGCGGAGGCCCCTCTGGCCCACTCTTATGGTGTCTTTTATTGTAGGTCTCAGTATATGGAGAGGGGGTCTGTGTCAGGAGCTTCCCCTGGAGAGGTTTCTGTTTGGGACAGTCTTTGGGAGTGATCTATTTCTGCTCTCTTTGGGGGGATCTTTGTCTGGAGCTCTTGGGGCGGGGGCGGGGGGGCTTGTGTTTGGAAGTTTGCCTTCGGGGAGATACCTGTCTGGGACCTCTTAGGGTTTCTTTTTTTTTTTTTTTTTTGAGACGGAGTCTTGCTCTGTCGCCCGGGCTGGAGTGCCGTGGCCGGATCTCAGCTCACTGCAAGCTCCGCCTCCCGGGTTTATGCCATTCTCCTGCCTCAGCCTCCCAAGTAACTGGGACTACAGGCGCCCGCCACCTCGCCCGGCTAGTGTTTTTTGTATTTTTTAGTAGAGACGGGGTTTCACCGGGTTAGCCAGGATGGTCTCGATCTCCTGACCTCGTGATCCGCCCGTCTCGGCCTCCCAAAGTGCTGGGATTACAGGCTTGAGCCACCGCGCCCGGCCCTCTTAGGGTTTCTATGAGCTTTCTCTTTTGTGTCTGTCAGCCCAAGGGCAGCAAAAAGTATCTCCTTTCTGAAGCCTTTTTTTTCCTTAGGTTTCTTCACTCTTTCTCTCTTATGTTCATTTTAGCCATATACTTGACTGGCGTTTAGAGGGAATTGATTGTTGTCCAGATGAGTCGTACAGGAAAGCAGATTGTCTTTTTTTTTTTTTGAGACGGAGTCTCGCTCTGTTGCCCAGGTTGAAGTGCAGTGGCACAATCTTGGCTCACTGCAACCTCCGGCTCCCGGGTTCAAGCGATTCTCCTGCCTCAGCCTCTCAAGTAGCTGGGATTACAGGCACCCGCCACCACGCCTGGCTAATTTTTTGTATTTTTAGTAGAGACGAGGTTTCACTATGTTGGCCAGTCTGTTCTCAAACTCCTGACTTTGTGATCCGCCCACCTCAGCCTCCCGAAGTGCTGGCGTGAGCCACCGTGCCCTGCCCTAGATTATCCTTTTTATTTGCTCAGTCCCCCCAGGGAGCAGATGGCTTCAGACAGCCACACAAAATACTATTCCTGCTTAATTCGCCATGGGGTCATGATTAAAGAGAGGAAGCTGGGCTGAGTTCCCTTCACTAATTGGTCCTCTCTACATCTTGTGCACAGAAGGGAACCTGGCCAGTGGCCAGTGACTCTCCTCTCCCTTTATGGCAGCATTTCCAAGCACCTGCCCTGGGACAGGTACTGGCTAGGAACTGGGGATAACAAAGACGAATAAAGTAACAGCTCACCGTCCAGTAGTGAACATAGAGACATCGGTTTCCTCTGACTAGCATTGGGATGGTGCTGAAACCCTGGAACTACACATTCAGTTTAGAACTTGGGCTCTCAGTTATGGAAGTTCTGCCTTCTATTTTTTTGGTTTTGGTTTTTGTCCACCAGAAAACATCTGCTAGTAACTGCCCTCTGTGTTGATGCTTTCTTTCCTCACCTCACCCAGCGTGCTTCTGTTCTTCAAGGTTGAAAACTAAGCATGGGGAAGAGCTGCAAGGTGGTCGTGTGTGGCCAGGCGTCTGTGGGCAAAACTTCAATCCTGGAGCAGCTTCTGTATGGGAACCACGTGGTGGGTGAGTATTATTGGAGGGGGAGGAACAGTGGGAAAAGTTGAAGAATAAGGAATAGGCTTGATCACAACACACACAGGCTAAAAGCTGCTCCTGGTGGTTTTTGCCCTGGAAGAATAAAACTTACATTGCAACAAATCAGCTCTACAACACTGAACAAAATCGGAGGGAGAAAGCCCTGTGTCCAAGATAGGAAGGAGAAGCTGTCATATCACACTTGTGCTTAGCATGGAATTAGCATAAAATTAATGTCCATTGGCTGGGCATGGTGGATCACACCCATAATCCCAGCACTTTGGGAGGCTGAGGTGGGCGGATCACCTCAGGTCGGGAGTTCAAGACCAGCCTGAACAACTTGGAGAAACCCTGTCTCTACTTAAAAATACAAAATCAGCCGGGCGTGGTGGCGCATGCCTGTAATCCCAGCTATTCAGGAGGCTGAGAGAGGAGAATCACTTGAACCCGGGAGGTGTAGGTTGCGCGCATGCCTGTAATCCCAGCTATTCAGGAGGCTGAGAGAGGAGAATCACTTGAACCCGGGAGGTGTAGGTTGCGGTGAGCCGAGATCGCACCATTGCACTCCAGCCTGGGCAACAAGAGCAAAAGTCCGTCTCAAAAAAAAAAAAGAAATTAATGTTAGTTCCCCTAAACCCAAATCATTTCAGTCCTGCCAGGCTGTCAATTCTCTGGCCTCCTCAGCCCCCTACATTCCTTTCTCCCCATCTGGTCAGCCTTAAGCTGTTCTCATAACTCACATTTCCCATCTCCCTCTCCACTTCAGACAGTTTTCTCATTTTATACCAGGTTCAGAGATGATCGAGACGCAGGAAGACATCTACGTGGGCTCCATTGAGACAGACCGAGGGGTGCGAGAGCAGGTGCGTTTCTACGACACCCGGGGGCTCCGAGATGGGGCCGAACTGCCCCGACACTGCTTCTCTTGCACTGATGGCTACGTCCTGGTCTACAGCACAGATAGCAGAGAGTCTTTTCAGCGTGTGGAGCTGCTCAAGAAGGAGATTGACAAATCCAAGGACAAGAAGGAGGTGTGTGGCATAGGCTTCTGGTGGGAGCCTCAGTGATCAGAGAGTTTGGGCAGTGGGCTGGTTTGGGAAGCCTGGCATGGCTCCATTCTTCACTCCAAGGTGAGTTAGGAGCTAGAAGTGGGGTGGCTGCATGTTGAGTCTGCTCAACCAAAGAGGCCTCTTTGTGGCTTAAGGGGTCCCTGACCTGACTTAATGTATGAAGCCCCCACTAGTTGTTCTTCTGATAGTTCTGTGCTTTTAGCTACGAAAGCCCTTCTTTTTTTTTTTTTTTTTTTGAGACAGGGTCTCACTCTGCCACCCAGGCTGGCATGATCACAGCTCACCCAGTGCAGTGGCATGATCACAGCTCACTGCAGCCTCAACCTCCCAAGGCTTGGGTGGTCCTCCTGCCTCAGCCCCATGAGTAGCTAGGACTACAGGTGCACGCCACCACGCCTGGCTCAGTTTTGTATTTTTACTAGAGATGGGGTTTTCTCATGTTGCTCAGGCTGTTCTCAAACTCCTGAACTCAAGCAGTCCACCTGCCTCATCCTCTCAAAGCGTTGGGATTACAGGCATGAGCCACTGCATCTGGCCATGAAGGCCATCTGTTCTCCAGAATCCCGCTCTAAGCTGCAGAGTTCTGGGAGTGCTTCCTCGTGAGGTGTTGAGCCAGAAACTGACGGCTAGTAATGAGCATGTATGGGCAATGCAGGGCTGGTGATAGAACTAAAAGGAGGGCTAGATGGAGGCCAGAATTTGAACAGAGGAAAGAGAAGAAAAAGCAACCATCTCCTTTCCCACAATGAATGGTATGGAATCTAGAAAGAGACGAAACATCAGCCATTTAGCTTTCCTCTCATAGAACTCCTAGGTGGTTGCCAGCCCCCATGTCCATTCCTGGGTTTATGGTACATTCACAGGCCTATGCTGTGTTCCTCTTCCCCAGGTCACCATCGTGGTCCTTGGCAACAAGTGTGACTTACAGGAGCAGCGGCGTGTAGACCCAGATGTGGCTCAGCATTGGGCCAAGTCAGAGAAGGTGAAGCTGTGGGAGGTGTCAGTGGCGGACCGGCGCTCCCTCCTGGAGCCCTTCGTCTACCTGGCCAGCAAGATGACGCAACCCCAGAGCAAGTCTGCCTTCCCCCTCAGCCGGAAGAACAAGGGCAGTGGCTCCTTGGATGGCTGAAGAGCTGCCGTTCCTCCTTTATAATCCTAGCCCCATTTCAGCATCTGGGGCTCTGGTAGATGGGTTGAGGGCAAAGTAGAGGGAAAGCTGCCTTTCCCGCTCAGCCACAGAGCTCCCCAGTAGGCCAGGCCCCAGCCACTTTGCTCCCTCTCACCTCCAGGAAGTGCAAATACTCTTGGTTGACATCCCCTTCCTCAGCCCTCACAGCCTACTCCCCACCCCAGCTTTTATAGGCTCTGCTCCACTGTCTCCTGGGGCAGTGGGTCACCGTCCTTTCCAGCTGCCCCAAACAGGAAGCAGAGTCACCACGCAGCAGTGTCCCTTCTCGGGTCTGGTTCCTATTATAGTTAGGGGTCCCACCCTCTGGGCTTCCCATCAGTGACACACACACACTTATGGCACCAGCCTGGACACCAGAAAAAGGGTGTCCGGGTATTGTGTGTATGCGTTTAGTTGTGCCTGTGTGTGTGTGCACGCACATATGCTCCTATACTGGTGTTACGTGTCTCCTCATCCCTCACCCTGACCTTTCTCCTGTCCTCCTCTTGGCTGGAAGAAGCTAGCCTCCTGGGAGTATAGTTTTCTGTTTTAAATCCCCCACCCCTGGCTGGGCTCAGTGACTCATGCCTGTAATCCCAGCACTTTGGGAGGCCAAGGCCGGTGGATCACTTGTGGTCAGGAGTTCACGACCAGCCTGGCCAACATTGTGAAACCCCATCTCTGCCAAAAATATAAAAGTTAACCGGGCATGGTGGCACATGCCTGTAATCCCAGCTACTCTGGGAGGCTATGGCAGGAAAATGGCTTGAACTCAGAAGGTGGAGGCTGCAGTGAGCTGAGATCGCGCCACTGCACCCCAGCCTGGTCAACAGAGCAAGACTCCATCTCAAGAAAAAAAAAATTCCCCACCCCCACCAATAGTTTAACTTCCTCTTCCTGCTCAGGGAGCAGATGGGCCTCATTGGTTGAGGTGGAATAGAGTAACTGGTCTATGAGTTGCCACCCCACTTTGTGACCCAGCAAGACCTTTCCCCTCTCTGGGTGTTAGTTTCTTATCTGTAAGATGACCAGAGTTGCTCAGATGATCTAGATCCTTTCCAGTTCTCTGATTTTGTAAAGCCAATGGCTTCTCCCTCTTCAAGGTGCTATGCCGACCAGCCCTGAAGGCTGGGATCTGCCGCTCCCTCCAGCCACCAGGGGGCAGGAGTGCACTACCTGCTGTCAGTCGCCAGAGTGGCCGCTCTGTGCCCAGCCCTCCAGCCTCGCCCTTGGAGGCTGCTCTTCATCCTGCCTGTGGTTTTCAACTCAGAGCTGGACTTCTATTTATAAGTTACCTGTATTTATATTTATATGCCCGCTGCCATGGTGAAGGCTGGACAAGGTGCTCCTCTGGCCCCTCCTTCGTACCTCAGATGCCTGAACAGAACAAGGCAAACACGTAGCAGCCTCTCAGGAGCAGACAGGTCCTCTTTCGGGGCTCAGGAGGGTGGGCACGTACCCAGTGGCCTGCAAAGTGAGCTTATTACCCACTACTTCCTGTGCCTGCTTTGTGCTTCTAAGGTGCACACCTAGCCTAGGTGAGACACTGCAGCCAGGCAACCACCGACACACGCCCCTTCTCAAAGCCAGAGGTGAGTGGGGCAGGTGCCCAGGGCTGGGCGAGTGGAATTAGGACACACACAGGCTTGGGCTTCAAGTTCATTTATTGATGCATTCATTGGACACAATAAAACCACAATTGTTATCAAAAAGTTTCCCTCCCCTCCCCCCTTTTTCTGGTTCTCCCATTGGAAATGTCTTAAAAAAAAAGATACAGGGGGATACTGGCAAGGTCCCATATTGTGGGGTGCAGAGGGGGCAGTGCTGCAGTGGGAGGGAGCTTGTGACACTGATGTTGACAGCATGAAATGGGTCTTGTAAGTGCGTGTGAGACTGCCTCCCAATACTCAGCTTCACAGTGGCAGGGGCTGGTTGAGAGAAGGGAAAGCTCTTCCTTTGGGAGCCCTGGGGGTATTCGGTATTAGCTGAGTCCATAGTCTGAGGGAGACCCACACCCGCCCTCCAAGAGCTGGGGTTCAGGAAGTCAGAGGAAGGCTAACAAGAGCTGCTGAGGAATGAGTTACCCCCTCAATATTAAGACTGGGCTCATCGGCAAGTATCACTTTTTTTTTTTTTTTTTTTTTTTTTTTTGAGACGGAGTGTCACTCTGTCGCCCAGGCTGGAGTGCAGTGGCCGCATCTCAGCTCACTGCAAGCTCCGCCTCCCGGGTCTACGCCATTCTCCTGCCTCAGCCTCCCGAGTAGCTGGGACTACAGGCGCCCGCCACCTCACCCGGCTAGTTTTTTTTGTATTTTTTAGTAGAGACGGGGTTTCACCGTATTAGCCAGGCTGGTCTCGATCTCCTGACCTTGTGATCCGCCCGTCTCGGCCTCCCAAAGTGCTGGGATTACAGGCTTGAGCCACCGCGCCCGGCCGGCAAGTATCACTTGAACCAGGGAGGCAGAGGCTGCAGTGAGCCAGGATCGTACCACTGCACTCTAACCTGGGCAACAGAATGCAACTCTGGAAAAAGAAAAAATGTCTGGGCCCATGAATGCCCAGAAGACTAAGATTAAAACAAACAAAACCCTGGGCCCAACCAGAACATCACCTTCTCTCAGTCCCACCCCTTCAGAGCAGATGAAGCCCCCAAAAGCTTTCAGAACCAGCCCCACCACTTCCTTGGCTCTGCCCCACCTTAGCACTGCTGATCGAAGGACTTCTGGGTCCCCCTTTCTCCTCCGTGGTCCTCTGTCACACTCCTATGGTCACCTTGTCCTGATAGCCTTGAGCCTGCTCCAGCTAAAGACCCCATCTCTATCTCCAGTGAAGCCCCAGAGCCTAGGACTGGAGGTCAGAGAGTTGCTCCCCGGCTAGGAGAGGATGGCTTGTAGAAGCTAAGATTCCTGGAGGCTGGCCATGTGGGGCCTGGTGTAGGTCTTGGGTGGAGGAAAGTGAGAGCACCACGTGGCTGGGGCTGAGATTTTGCATAGATCTTTGGGGTCTGTCAGGGTGGGAAATGCAGGGAAGCCTAGGACTAACCCTGGAAGGCCTGGGAAAGGAGGGTGGGGACAGTCCTTGGAAGGGAGCTGCCCTTGAAACTAGCCCAGTTCTTTCTGGATTGGGCAGGACCCCTGAAGCTGTTCACAGTCTCTGTGGCTTGTAGGAACCCAAGGTGTCTCGGGACAGTAGGAGACAAGGAGTGGCTATTGGGAAATCAGCTCTGGCCTCCCCATGAGGGCTAATAAGGGGCAAGAACGATAGGTCCTGTGGCAGGGCGGACAGCTCCTGCTGGGGTGCGAAACAGAGCTGGGCCCAGGATTGGAGCTGGGAAGAGGGTAGTGGCTGCTGTAGGGGCAGGGCGGAGGGCCAGGGGCCCTGGCAGGGCACAGATGGCAGTGGCTGCGGTGGGGAGCGGGCTGGGCAGGAAGCGGGCTGCCAGCGTCTTGGTGAGTTGCTTCTGCAAGGCCAGTTTAGACTACACAGAAAAGAAAGGAATGGACACAGTCTCCACCCCAGAAAACCGCACCCCCTCCCTGGGGCCCATCCTCAAGCTTTTTGCTGCAGGGAAAATGTGCCTTTTAGAGTTCCAAACCTAAATCCTCCTCCCTTCCCACCCCCAAACATTCATTCCGAAGGGCTTTCTCCACCACCTGTCTTCCTGTCCAGAGGGAGGAAAGTCTCAGGATGGGAGAAGGGAGGAGGATTTACGGGATAGAGATGGTCTCTAGGAGATGCACGCCCACCCCTCGCTCTTGCCCCTAAGATGACTACCCCAGCCCACCTCCGCGGAAATTCCTCTGGGCAGATCCCAGTTCCCAGCCCCAGCTCTCTCACCGCCCAGCAGCCTCAGTGCAGGGTGGTCTCTTTCCTGCCCCACCACATCCCCCATCTGGCCCTCCCAGCCCACCCTCTCCCCTCCTGACCCAGTCCCAGCTCTGTTGCCTGGAGACAGATACCTTGAGGATACTCACAGCCAGCGCTGCGTGCTTCTGCAGCTTGCTGTGCTGGCTGGAGGGCTTGGGGGGCTTCCCGGCCAGGCGGTCTTTGTGCCTCCTGCTGCTCATGTGCTAATGGACAGACAGACAGACTGGGAACAAGATGACAAAGCCCAAGGACCCCAAGACCATCATCCTCGACTCTCTCCCCCTTCCTCTACCCACAGCTCGTACATCCAAAGCACACAGACTGGGTCCTCACCCTGGGGTAGGCTCTGGGAAGGGAAGGGGAGTCTTGGCCTTTGCCCTCAGTTGGCCTGCTGGCCTCGCTCCTCCAGCCCGCTCTGCTCTGCCCTGCCTGCCCTCTTCAGGATCCTTCCCTCTCCTGCCCTGCCCCTCACCCCCTCCCCTGGCTCCAACCCCAGTCCCAGCCTCACTTCTCCCACCTGCTTGAGTTGGGTCTCTGAATTGACCTGGAGCTGACAGAGAGCACAGTGGAAAGCAGGGCTGGGCCCCTGCCGGCCGCCCCTGCCCCCTGTCACTCTCTTGGCCTTGTGTCCGGCGCCTCCCCTGGACACCGGGCGGCCCCGGCTCCTCCGGGGAGCCGCTCGCTGACCCTCCGTCATCCACCGGTGCTTGGCTCCTGGAGAGGGAAGAAGGCAGTCTCTCGGCAGCAGGAAGGGGTTGCAGGGGCTGCAGAGACCCCTCCACACTCACGCAGTTTGGCTCTCCCTGTAAGCCTCGCAGCAGCTCTATGCGCACATCGCCTTCCAGCCACACGTGGTTTCCCCTCCCAGCTTCTGTCCTTTCATGCCAGCCCCTCCAATGGAAGGCCTCCCTGCACTACAAATGGCTGGCTTCCCCTTTGCTTTGATCTCAGTCCCTTCCTTCTAGGTGTGATCTAAGGAGAGAGGGAGGTGTCTCCTGTCTCCCGTGGAGTGACCCTTCAGAGATTTAGCGACCCTCAGTTCTTGCTGCCTCAGACTTCTGTTCCCAATTCTCCTCCCCAAGGAGTAATGGGAGGACCCAGAAACACCCGCTCAATAATACGCGAGCACAACGCCTCTGCCACCCAACCCTTGAGCGAAGCACGCAGGAACTCAAGCCTACCCTCATCTGGTGAGGCTCAGCTTCTGCCCCACCCTTTCCCCAGGCTCCAGCTCCTGGGGACCACTGACCTGTGTTGTGAGCCTGAAGCTGGGAGGCCGAGTTCACTGTCACCTTACACGTGGGGCAGTAGAGGTGCCCCTTCTCACTCCTGCCTTCCCCACTCATGCTGCTTCCCACGGCAGCTGCCGCTGGCTCAGGCCCTGGTGCCTCTCTCCCAGGCTCTGGGGAGCAAGGTGGGCAGGAGGAAGAAGAGGACGAGGAGGAGGCAGCATCCAAGAGCTCTTCATGGGCTGGCTCCCTGGATGTAGGGTCCGGAGTTGGTGGTGGCTGGAGTGGAGACCCAAGAGGTGGGACTGCAGGAACTGCTGCGGAGATGGAAGGCATGGGGGCAGAGTGTGAGGCCCAATATGACGCTGGAGACCACGATCTTCAGCTCTGACCATGGAGGTGACCTGGAGGGCCTCTGGTGGATGACCACCACTGAATTCCAGGCCCCACTTTTCTACCAACTCACTGGGCAGACTTGGGCCTCAGTTTCCCCATCGGAAATCACTTAAGTTGGACACAGTGGTCTCAGAAAGCCCTCACAGCCCTCATATTCTTATTTACTAACTTAAATAGGCAGAGATCACCAAAAAAGATGTACTAGAATGTTCAGAGAACACTATTCATATCATAAAACTGAAACTACCCACATGTCCACCAACAGGAGAGCAGATTTTTAAAAAATAGTGGTACGGGCTGGATACGGTGGCTGATATCTGTAATCCCAGCACCTTGGGAGGCCGAGGCAGGTGGATCATCTAAGGTCAGGAGTTCGAGACTGGCCTGGCCAACATGGTGAAACCCTATCTCTACTAAAAATACAGAATTAGCCAGACGTGGTGGCACATGCCTGTAGTCCCAGCTACTCAGAAGGCTGAGGCAGGAGAATCACTTGAACCCGGAAGGCAGAGGTTGCAGTGAGCCAAGATCACGCCACTGCACTCCAGCCTAGGCGACAGAGTGAAACTCCATCTCAAAAAAAATAAAACAAACAAAACAAAACAAAACAAGTGGTAGGGGCCAGATGCAGTGGCTCACACCTGTAATCCCAGCACTTTGGGAGGCCAAAGTGGGCAGATGACTTGAGTCCAGGTGTTCAAGATCAGCCTGGGCAACACAGTGAAACACCATCTGTACTAAAAATACAAAAATTAGCCAGGCATGGTGGCACATGCCTATAGTTCTGGCTACTTGGGAGGCTGAGGGAGGAGGATCACTTGAGAGCCAGGGAGGTGGATGAGCCTAGATCACACCACTGCACTCTAGCCTGGGTGACAGAGCCAGACCCTGTCTCAAAAAAAAAAAAAAAAAAAAAGTTTTTAAAAATTCAAATTAAAAAAAAAGTAGTGGTATGATCTGCAATGGAGTACTACACAGCAATGAAAAAGAACAAACTACAGCTACACACAAAAACATGGATGAATCTTACAGATACAATGAATGTTGATGAATGTTTGTGAGAGATGAATAAAACCCAGATACAGGCCGGGTGGGGTGGCTCACACCTGTTATCCCAGCACTTTGGGAGGCCAAGGCAGGTGGATCACAATGTCAGGAGTTAGAGACCAGCCTGGCCAATATGGTGAAACCCTGTCTATACTAAAAATTAAAAAAATTAGCTGGACGTGGTAGCGGGTGCCTGTAGTCCCAGCTACTTGGGAGGCTGAGGCAGGAGAATGGCTTGAACCTGGGAAGCAGAGGTTGCAGTGAGCCAAGATTGCACCACTGTGCTCTAGCCTGGGAGACAGAGCGAGATTCTCTCTCAAAAAACAAAAAAACACGAAACAAAACAGATACAAAAAACCCTACATACTCTATGATTCACCAAAAACAGGTAAAACTGATGTATGCTGAGAAGTCAGGATCGTATTTACCATTAGAGGGGCTGCAGTCGGTTGAATAGTGTCTCCCCCAAAATTCATGTCTATCTGGAACCTCAGAATGTGACCTTATTTGGAAACAGGGTCTTTGCAGATAAAACTACTGAAGATGAGGTCATGCTGGGTTTGGGTGGGACTAATCTAGTGACTGGTACCCTTATAAGAAGAGCTTGTGGAGACACAGAGACACACAAGGGAGAATGTGGAGATGGAGGAGGAGATTGGAGTGATGCGTCTATAAGCCAAGGAGTGCCAAGGAATGCCCGCAACCACCAAAGGCCAGAAGAGAAGCATGGGACACTTTCTCCTCTGAGCCCCCAAGAAGAAACCAACCCTGTCAACGCCTTGATTTCAGACTTCTGGCCTCCGAGCTGTGGGAAAATACATTTCTGTTGTTTCCAGCCACCCAGATTGGAGTCTCTTTTTTTTTTTGGGTGGACGGGGGAGGTTAGAGACAAGGTTTTGCTCTGTCACCCAGGCTAGAGTGCAGTGGCATGACCATAGTTCACTGCAGCCTCGACCTCCTGGGCTTAAGCAGATCCTCCTGCTTCAGCCTCTTGAGCAGCTGGGACTACAGGTGTGTATCATCATGCCTGGCAAATAAATTTTTTTGTAGAGACAGGGTCACACCGTGTTACCCAGACTGGTCTCGAACTCCAGGCTTCAAGCAATCCTCCTGCCTCAGCCTCCCAAAGTGTTAACCATCACAAGGTGTGAGCCACCATGCCTAACTTCACAAATGTAGTCATTTGTGGAGGCAGTCCTTGGAAATGAATACTTCAGGGTAATGACCGGGAAGAGGTGCAAGACAAGCTTCTGAGGTGCTGGTAACGTGTTTCCTGATCTGGGTACATGTTCAGCTTAGGAAAATTCATGGAGTGGTACACTTGTGTACCTTTGCCTGTCTGTATGGAATACTCCAACACAAGCAAAAAGAAGCAGCAGAAATCTCTCAACCCCTTGTCAGAAACCAGATTTGGAGTGGAGATTTGGGAAAGAGAAGAGCTCAGGACTGACCTTTACTCTGTTGCTCTCCAGGGGCTCCACTGGCCAGCGTTGGGATTGGGGACACTACAGCCCCATCCTGGGCCGGGGTGTGTGGCCTCTGCTTGCTCTTGGCAGCCTCGACAGCCTTGAGTTTTCTGGCGTGTTTGTGGCCTTTATAATGTGCCTCGGCCTGGTTCTGGGGAGGGGAGGCAAGAGGTCACCATTCACTGGCTGAGTCCACATGCCCCATTCATGAACTGGAGCCCAGCAGGGGACAGGTCCAAGGGAGGCAGGGCTCAGGCACACAAAGGGCAAGTCCTTGTCCTTGTCATCATCATCACCATAGTACATGTGGCTCTGAGGTTTACGGAATGTGTTCTCGCACATGAGCTCCAAGGCAGGCAGCCTCTGGCTTCAGATCTGACTCAGCCACTTACTAACTACATCTGTTTTTGCTGCTGTTTTTGCTTTCTGATTTTTTTTTTTTTTTTTTTTTTTTTTGAGGCAGAGTCTCACTCTGTCTCCCAGGCTGGAGTGCAGTGGTGCCATCTCAGCTCACTGCAACCTCCGCCTCCTGGGTTCAAACGATTCTCCTGTCTCAGCTTCCTGGGTAGCTGGGATTACAGGTGCGTGGCACCACACCAGACTAATTTTTTGTGTTTTTAGTAGAGATGGGGTTTCACCTTATTAGCCAGGATGGTTTCAATTTCCTGACTTCATGATCCACCCGCCTTAGCCTCCCAAAGTGCTGGGATTACAGGCGTGAGCCACTAGGCCCGGCCACTAACTACATCTTTAGGCAAGTAACATCATCTCTCTGAGCCTGAGTCTCCTCATCCATAAACTCTGTGACGACAATACTGACCTTGGCCGGGCACGGTGGCTCACGCCTGTAATCCCAGCACTTTGGGAGGCAGAGGCGGGCGGATCATGAGGTCAGGAGATCAAGACCATCCTGGCTAACACGGTGAAATCCCATCTCTACTAAAAATACAAAAAATTAGCTGGGCGTGGTGGCGCGCGCCTGTGGTCCCAGCTACTTGGGAGGCTGAGGCAGGAGAATGGTGCGAACCCAGAAGGCGGAGCTTGCAGTGAGCCAAGATCAAGCCACTGCACTCCAGCCTGGGCGAAGAGTGAGACTCCGTCTCAAAAAAAAAAAAAGTACTGACCTCATGTGTTGTCAGAATTACATGGGAACATGAATTACAAGGGCTGAGTCCATAGAGTAGGTGCTCAATGAATGTTAGTTATTGAGTGTATCAATGCACAAATGGAGAAAGCAGAGCAATCCCCACACTTTGGGGCATATGTACCCCAGAACATTCATCCCTTTGTTCACTTGTTCAACAAGTCATTACTGAGCATTTGCTATTTGCCAGGAAGAAGCCATGGTTCCTCTCTTGGAACAAATTCTCTCCTCCATCTTTTTTTTTTTTGAGACGGAATCTCGCTTTGTCACCCAGGCTGGAGTGCTGTGGGAGCAATCTCAGCTCACTGCAACCTCTGCCTCCTGGGTTCAAGTGATTCTCCTGCCTCAGCTTCCCGAGTGGCTGGGATTACAGGCACCCACCACCACAACTGGCTGATTTTTTTTCTTTATTTTAGTAGAGATGGGTTTCACCATGTTGGCCAGGCTGGTCTCTAACTGCTGACCTCAAGTGATCCACCCACCTCGGCCTCGCAAAGTGCTGTAAAGGCGTGACCCACCACTCCCAGCCTCTCCTCCATCTCTTGCAGGACTCATGGAACCAGAAGCCCTGAAGGGAATCCCCAAATCTGGTCTGTCAGTGTCCTCCCTCCAAGGGTCCTCACTTGCTGCTCCCTGGCCCACCTCCTCGAAACGTGGGAAAGACAGGCTCCCACAGCTCTTCCCTGGATGCGACACCACAGCAGTTCTGCTGACATCCAACTGAAACCCCAGATTGCCTGACAGGAGGTAGACCTTCCCTGCGAGGCCAGAATGAGGTTCCTCCTCTACCTAAGGGTAGGATGTAGTAGAAAGGGGTAGGCTGTAGTAGAGTCATAGACCTTGGGGTCAGCCAGGCCTGGGTTCATATCCCAGCTTTGCTACTAACCAGCTGTGTGGTCTTAGGCAAGTCACTTAACCTCTCTAAGGCTCACTTTCCTCATCTGAAAATCGGGGATTATAATAGCGTCTCTAGGCCAGGCGCGGTGGCTCATACCTGTAATCCCAGCATTTTGGGAGGTCAAAGTGGGTGGATCACTTGAGCCCAGGAGTTCGAGACCAGCCTGGGCAACATGGTGAAACCCTGTCTCTGCCAAAAATACAAAAAAATTAGCCAGGTGTGGTAGCACATCCCTGTAATCCCAGCTACTAAGCCGAGGCACAAGAATCACTTGAACCCTGGAGGTGGAGGTTACACTGAGTCAAGATTACGCCACTGCACTCCTGCCTGGGTGACAGAGTGAGACTTTGTCTTCAAAAAAAAACAAACAAACACACAAACACACAAAAATCCTGCCTCCACCCCTCTCACAGACGTATCATGAGAACTATTATTTAAGGTGATGGGCATGATCACATTCTGTAAACTCAGATCAGGAGCTGATGAGATGGTCCCCTGGGACCCGGAGTGGAGGAAGGGCAGTCTGCTCTCTTGCAGAAGGATCCAGAACACAGGACGGAGGCCTGGGGGGAAGGAAATGGAATCCCACTGGGCTATAGGTGGGCAGAAGGGGAAGGGGCAGAAGAATCTAGAGAGAGGAGAGGGTGCGATGGTTAAAGGACCAAGAGTGCCTCTTCTGCAGCCAGGGATTGAAAATACAGACCACAGCCCCTTTGCCACTGGTATTCCTCCCAGAAGGACCCTGAAAGCCCAGCCTCCAGCCCTCTCCCTGCCCAGCCCCCTCCCCAGACCTGCTTTCACTACTTTGTCTCACCGCTGAGTTGAACCTTAGGTGACAGATGTTACAGGAAATGAAGAGTTTCTTCTTCAGAGGGGAGGGGACCCCAAACGTGTGGCTGATGACAGCTTTCTGGACCGGGTCCATCTGTGAAGGGAGTGGGAGGGCATAATAACTCTGGGGTTGGCTTGGGAAGCAGGGATTGGGGGCAGCACAAAACTAAAGATGACTGAAGTGGGCCGTCGTCAGCTTCTAGGAAGAGCTTTTCCATCCTGTGGATGTTGGAAAAAGAAACACCTGGGCCAGCTGCGGTGGCTCACGCCTGTAATCCCAGCACTTTGAGAGCCCGAGGCAGGCAGATCACCTCGGGTTGGGAGTTCAAGACCAGCCTGACCAACATGGAGAAACCCAGTCTCCACTAAAAAAAAATACAAAATTAGCCAGGTGTGATGGTGTGTGCCTGTAATCCCAGCTACTTGGGAGGCTGAGGCAGGAGAATTGCTTGAACCGGGGAGATGGAGGTTGCGGTGAGCCGAGAGCACCTCCAGCCGGGGCAACAAGAGCAAAACTTTGTCTCAAAAAAAAAAAAAAAAGAAAGAAAGAAAGAAAAAAGAAAAAGAAACAGCCGGCTGGGTGTGGTGGCTCACGCTTGTAATCCCAGCACTTTGGGAGGCCAAGATGGGTGAATAACCTGAGGTCAGGAGTTCGAGACCAGCCTGGTCAAGTGAAACCCCTTCTCTACTAAAAATACAAAAATTAGCCGGGCGTGGTGGCGCGTGGCTGTAGTCTCAGCTACTCAGGAGGCTGAGGCAGGAGGCTTGAACCAGAGAGGCAGAGGTTGCAGTGAGCTGAGACTGTGCCATTGCACTCTAACCTGGGTAACAGAGTGAGACTCTGCCTCAAAAAAAAAAAAAAAAAAAAAAAAAAGGCCGGGCGCAGTGGCTAAAGCCTGTAATCCCAGCACTTTGGGAGGCCGAGACAGGCGGATCACGAGGTCAGGAGATCGAGACCATCCTGGCTAACACGGTGAAACCCTGTCTCTACTAAAAAATATAAAAAACTAGCTGGGCGAGGTGGCGGGCGCCTGTAGTCCCAGCTACTCGGGAGGCTGAGGCAGGAGAATGGTGTGAACCAGGGAGGCGGAGCTTGCAGTGAGCTGAGATCCGGCCACTGCACTCCAGCCTGGGTGACAGAGTGAGACTGTCTCAAAAAAAAAAAAAAAAAAAAAAAAAAAAAAAAGGGAAGGGAAGGGGGGGAGGGGAGGGAAAAAAAAACAGAAAAGAAAAAAAAGAAAAGAAAAAGAAACAGCCTCTTCCCTGGCTGTCTTTATCTGTCAGCCTGGGCTTCTGCTTGGAAGCAGGGGAATGGTCAGAGTGCCCTGCATGATACTGGGACATAGAACCACGTTCTGGTGATCGCCTTGGCATCTCTTGGTGCCCCTTAGGTCATTTTTTTTTTCTCCTTTGCAATAATCATAACTATTGGGACAGAGAGTTGTAAACAAGGAGAGGCAGGGAAAAGACAAAGAACCCTTCTGCTGGAATTTCCTCTCCCATCACCCAGGCTTCATGCCTGGACCTGTGGGCTGGGGGAAGATAAGTCCTATCTCATCAGCTCTGCCACTGTCACAGAGCCTGAGGCTGCTGATGACCTCTTTTTTTTTTTTTTTCCCTAAGATGGAGTACTGCTCTGTCAACCAGGCTGGAGTGCAGTGGCATGATCTCAGCTCACTGCAACTTCCACTTCTCTGGTTCAAGTGATTCTCCTGCCTCAGCCTCCTGAGTAGCTGGGATTACAGGCACCCACCACGACGTCTGGCTAATTTTTGTATTTTTAGTAGAGACGGGGTTCCACCATGTTGGCCAGGCTGGTCTCAAACTCCTACCCTCAAAGTGATCTGCCTGCCTTGGCCTCCCAACGTGCTGGAATTACAGATGTGAGCCACCGTGCCCAGCCATGACGACCTCTCTTGAGAGAGTGAGAGCCACAGCCAGGGGAGGTGGGGGGCCAGTAGGAGGCAGGGAGCAGCAAGTGGAGGCCTAAGGTTCCCTAAGGAGGAGGATTGTTTCTTTGGAATATTAATTTGGATTTTTTTTCTTTTCCTTACTACTTATTTATTTATTTATTTTGAGATGGAGTCTCCTTCTTGTCACCCAGGCTGGAAAGCAATGGCAGAGCCAAGATCTTGCAACCTCCGCCTCCTGAGTTCAAGTGATTCTCCTGCCTCAGCCTCCCAAGTAGCTGAGATTACAGGTGCCCGCCACCATGCTCAGCTAATTTTTGTATTTTTAGTACAGATGGGGTTTCACTATCTCTTTTTTTTTTTTTTCCTGAGATGGAGACACTCTTGTCACCCCAGCTGGAGTACAATGGCACGATCTTGGCTCACTGCAACCTCCACTCCCGGGTTCAGGCGATTTTCCTGCCTCAGCCTCCCGAGTAGCTGGGATTACTGGCACCTGCCACCATGCTTGGCTAATTTTTGTATTTTTAGTAGAGATGGGGTTTTGCCATCTCTGTTGGCCAGGCTAGTCTCAAACTCCTGACCTCAGGTGATCAGCCCACCTCAGTCTCCCTAAGTGCTGGGATTACAGGTGTGAGCCACCACACCTGGCTTCTTTTCCTTATTTTAAATCATTATTTTCTTCTATAGAATTAAGGCTTGATGTTCCCTTTTCTCAGGAGGTTGGGCCAAATGCAATTGTCTGAACTTGTCAAGAACCTTCCAGGCTGGGCACGGTGGCTCACACCTGTAATCTCAACACTTTGGGAGGCTGAGGTGGGAGGATCCCTTGAGCTCAGGAGTTTGAGACCAGCCTGGGTAATATAGTGAGACCTCATCTCTGCTTATATAAAAATAAAATAAAATAAAAAAGGAACTTTCCAAACCTTCCCAAGAAAAGAAAACAGAGCTTAGAGAGAAGCACATGGGTGCAGAAACTTCCCTGAGAACAGAAAGAGGTTCAAATTCTCACAGCACCCAGTGCCAGCAAGGGGCTCAGGGGACAGGACCTCAGAGGAGAATGGCCTGCAGGGGCCCCCTGCAATTGGAACCATGCCTTTCAACAGTGAGCCTGTCAGCAAGCGACAGCAGGGACTTGAGACCAGAGGACCACCTCCCAAATGCCTCAGACTCCTTAGGACCTCTGTCTAACCCTGGAGGGTGGGAGGAAGGGATTCCTAAGTGTGACTAAGGTGGAGTTTGCCACCATCTGCTCAGGATGGGGCATGCCACACCCATGATTTCATTTGATTTTTCCAAATTTAAAAAAACGGAGATGGTTGCTGATCCCTTATATAGTGAATTAAAATTCATACTACACTTGTTTTTTTTTTTTTTTTTTTTTCTGAGACGGAGTCTCGCTCTGTCGCCCAGACTGGAGTGCAGTGGCCGGATCTCGGCTCACTGCAAGCTCCGCCTCCCGGGTTTACGCCATTCTCCTGCCCCAGCCTCCCGAGTAGCTGGGACTACAGGCGCCCGCCACCTCACCCGGCTAGTTTTTTTGTATTTTTTAGTAGAGACGGGGTTTCACCGTGTTAGCCAGGATGGTCTCGATCTCCTGACCTCGTGATCTGCCCGTCTCGGCCTCCCAAAGTGCTGGGATTACAGGCTTGAGCCACTGCACCTGGCCCATACTACACTTGTTATGCACACACACGTACAAGGAAATGTACAGACCAGGACACATACACAGCACAAAAGCTTCAGGCAGTTACAAATGCTCAGACAAGCAGAACAATTCACACTCATGCACACAAAGGGCACATGACCACAGGTAAACTCACAATCACCCAAACCACACAAAAACATATGCTTAGAGGGCAGATACACGCCAAACACACACTTAAAAGACACAAGGACACAACAAACCCTCAGATTACACAGGCAAATACCTTAATTACATAAAATTACCCACACACAAAGAGTTGTTTACAAACACACGCTGAACACCAACACACAAACTCACATCCACATATAACATACAAGACCTACAGAAACTACAACACAAAGGCACAGGTCAGTTACACACACACACACACGTCATCCACAGGAGCGCCTACACAGAAGCTCAAGTGGAATGCACAGGCTACAGGCTCTTGCAGGCCCAGCAGCTATGATGGTGGGGGTGGGGAGAGGGCTGACACCGTCTTGTTCCCCAGCCTAGGAGAGAGCGGGGCCCTCTCCTAGGGTCCCAAATAGGGGTTTCTATTTGGGGAGCACCTATCCCCTCTGAGGGCGGTTGGAGAACAAGCTCCTGGTTAGACCCAGCTGCTGAGAGCTGGCCCCTGAACCCAACTTCCATGCCCACCCACAAGCTTGGGTGCATGCCCCCACCCGCCAGCCCAGCCCATACCGTGCTGAAGTTGGGGAAGAGACTGAGCGGGGCAGCGCCATTGAAGTGGAAGGCGAGCAAGTGCTTGAAGTCCAGCGGGGGCTGCAGAGGCCGGGTGGGCAGGGGCAGGGAGGCCAGCAGGGGGCTGGGGGCGCTGGAGGCCGGGCCTGCTGCAGGAGGAAGAAGGGCACGGTCTGAAATGGGCTCTCTCCTACCTCTGTAGCCAGAACAAGAGGCGGATGGGCTCCCTGGGTGTGGAGCTGGGTAGAAACCTGTATCTCTCTTCACAGAGTGGCACCAGCCAGACCCAGGGTGATTACAGCCCCCTTCCCTGTGCCCTTCCTTCCCACAGCTGGGGAAGCAGAGGCAGGGACTCTACAGTTGGAGGCTCCCAGCCCAGAGGGATGACCCTCCCGCCCCTACTGAGGCAGCATACTGAACCCCAGGGCAGCCCAGCCAAGAGAGGGACAGAGGGGTCTGGGCAGGCCCCTGTCACACACCACCATGGAGACTGCATGATGTGCTGGGATTCCATTTTATTGCAAATTAAACTCAAACCCAGGGGTATTAGGAACAGGCTAGCTCTCGCCCCTGTCACTCTCTAACTATCCTCCCTCCCTCCAGATCCCCAGGCTTTCACAGCCAGGGCTGACAGGAGGGAATGGGAAACCCATGGGCTCTGAAGGGATGCGTTCCCCAGCTCTGGTGAGGTCTAAACTGCTTCCCCCAGGAGGCAAATAAGCCAGCGTCCCTGGGTTGGGCCTTGAGGCCAGTCCTCGGAGGCGGCAGGTACAGCACTGTGGATTTGCAGTCTTTGGTCTTAAAGGTCTGAGGCAAGGGCAGGGGAGGGGTAGGAACTTGGAGAGCAACTGGACTTTGAGGAATAAAAAATTAGAAAAAATAAATAAATCCAGCCCATCTGGGGCATTTTTGGACCCTGTCATTGCAAAACCAAAAGTAGTCCTTTTAGATGTTTGTGTGGTAACACTATGAAAGATAGCATAGGTTTATTTCACATTTGTAGGTTTTATGTCTATATACACAGTTATACACAGAAAAGGCCTGAGGCAGCCCACTGGTGAGGAGGGGAGGAAGGGAAACACTGTCTCCCCGGAACCACTGGCCCTTGAACCACCAGCTTGGGTACAGAGAGGACACTGTGCTGTGTGTCAGAAACAAGCACAGTCATCTACTCCCCAGTCACAGCTGAAGAGAAGAGACACTGCCGGGAGTGGGACTAAGAAACAGCCAAGGGCAGGGCGCGGTGGCTCACGCCTGTAATCCCAGCATTTTGGGAGGCCGAGACAGGTGGATCACTTGAGGTGAGGAGTTCGAGACCAGCCTGGCCAACATGGTGGAACCCTGTCTCTACTAAAAATATAAAAATTAGCCCCGGTGTGGTGGCGGGCGCCTGTAATCCCAGCTACTCGGGAGGCTGAGGCAGGAGAATTGCTTGAACCCAGGAGGCAGAGGTTGCAGTGAGCCTAGATTGTGCCAGTGCACTCCAGCCTGGATGACAGAGCAAGACTCCATCTCAAAAAAAAAAAAAAAAGAAAGAAAGAAAAAGAAAGAAACAGCCAAGGACCAGTGTCCGTTCCCTCAGCCCTCAATTCCCAAGACCTAGTCTTCCTCCCCCAAGCCAAGAACTCCCATATTTCTGGGGGGAGCCCAAACTTGGGCTGAATCCAGAAGGAAAAAGGGTGAGCTACTCCTCATCTAACTGTGTAAAGGCCAGGAATGATTTAGGGTGCCCCAGATCCTAGCATCTCTGCCCACCCACCCAGGCCCCTCTTGAACCAGTCCCTTCCTCCACAGCCTACAGGGTGGGGTTGGTGGGAAGCTCCAGAAGGGTGGGTGGGTGGCCTCAGGCCCCTGGGAGGCCACAGTCAGCAGATCATCTTGGGTGCAGCATGGTCAAGTCTAGGTTGGCCCTAAGGGCCCCAGGCTGGCTGGGCCGAGAGAAGGAGGCCACCCTCAGGTGAGCTGCGACCCCAGGAAGCCCTCTCCCCACCCACTCTCTAAGAACTCCACAGCCAACCCAAAGTCAAACTCGTGCAGCGGGGGCCCATCCACTGCGATCTTCACCACGTGGCCCCCCCGGCCTTCCCCGACCCCGCTCTGCCCCCACCACCGCAGCTCCCGGCTGCGGCCGACCTTGTCCAGCAGGCCAGCGCCAAAGGGCAGCGCCAAAGCCAAGGCGGCTAGGGCAGCGAAGTCGGGGAAGAGGTCGTGCAGCTCCGAGTGCGCGCACGCCAGCTGAGTGCACAGGGCCCGCGGGCCGAGCCGCCCAAGGCTGAACACCACGCGCTTAAACAGCGCGAAGTCCCCTAGTGCCCGCTGGCGCACCACGGCAGGCGCAAAGCCGCGCAGCAGCACCCGCAGCGCCCCCTCGCCATGCGCGCCCAGCTCCTCTGGCGCCTGAGGGTAGCGGCGGGGGTCGAAGATCGCCGCGAAGGCGGCCACGGCGTCCAGCGAAGGCCCGGGGTAGGAGTCCTGTAGGCCCTTCCGCATGGAGTCCAGAAAGGACCCCCGGAGCCACTCCAAGCCCCGGACCGCAGCCTCTGAGTAACCGAGCAGCTCCACGCCGCGGTAGGTGCAGCGCCCGCTGCTGGTGTCAGGGTCCGTGGATGCCAGTTCCTGCAGGAAGCCCTGGAGGCGGGCCCCACCTGAGCCGCGCTGAGCTTGGAGGGAGGCCGCAGCCGCCATCACCAGGGGCTGCAGCAAGGCCATGTCCGGCTCTTCTGCCTGCAGGACAAGGGAGAGCTTCTGCACAGAGGGCAGGGCATCCAGCAGCAGGTGGGTGAAGGCCACGAAGGTGAACTGGCGCAGGGCCAGGGCCAGTGACCCCGCCACAGGTGAGGCAAGGGCTGCAGCCTCCAGGGTGGGCACCAGGCCAGGCCAGGCCTCTGCCACTGCTTCCACGACAGGCAGCCGGGAGGCCCAGGGCACTGGCCGAGGCCCTGCCAAGTCAATAGCTGCAAGGTCCAGTGCTGCCCGGAGCTCAGGGACCAAGTGGGAACTAGGACCACCATGGAGGCGGAATAGGGCATCCAATATGCTCTCATATTGACCCAAGTAGGCGGGGGGCTCAGGATCTGTGCGGCCAGGGAGGCAGTGCAGCTCTGCCAGCAGTGGGCAAGTGGCCCGGAGCTGTGGGCCCACACTCCCCAGGCGCTCACTGGGGAGGCTTGAGCTGAGCCAGGCCAGCTTGGGTGCAGATACGCCGAAAGCCTGCAGGATGTCCAAGAGCTGGCCAGCAGTGGCCTCGCCCTCCTGTAGCTCCACACTGCCCAGGAAGGTGGTGGCAGGCTGGCCATCACAGGGGGACACCGAAGTGGCAAACAGGGCCAGGCTGTGTGACTCCGGCCAGTCTCTGGTCTCGTCCAACACCAGCCCCACATATGGGGATGCCTTCAGGCGCTGGCAGGCCTCTGTGTGCAAGACACTGGCAATGGCCACCTGGGACAGCCAGGAAGAGAAAGGGAGGGAGGACTGAGTTAGGCTTGTCCTGAGAGGCGGAGGCAGGCAGTGCGGGGTGGTGGAAAGAGCCCCGGCCTTGAGGTCACACAGACTTAGGGACTAATCCTGGCTTTGCCACTTACTGGCTGTGCTACCTTCGGCCAGTCACTTCACCTCTCTGAGCCTCAGTTTTCTCACCTCTACAGCTCCTGACGTCTCTAAGAACAGTCCTGCCACCCTGGCTTCCCACCACACCCGGTCTAGTTTTCTAAGCTCTTATACCTGCTGTCAGCTAATACCAGCCCCAAATCTTCTCAAAGCATTGTTGTAAATTATAAATGTCAACTTTTGTTGTGGTGAAAGCACTTTATGAACCATAAAGAGCTCTAGGAAAGCTAATTTTTTCACTGTGTTTTTCCATAGCATCATCGTAGTCTGCCCTATTCCTGGGGGTCTCCCTCCACTGTCCAGCTCAGTGATTAACTGATAGGCACACTCACTCCCAACTCCCAGTTACCCTGGGTCCCAGCTGTATGCTGTTTCTCTATTTGTCATCTCTGTAGGATGAGATCCAACTCCCCCACCTCCAACCCAGCCCACAGGACTCACACAGTTAGTACCTAGGACAGAGCTGCAATCTGCATGTCTCCAGGGGCCATGTGAGTGATACTGAGCTTAGAGAAGGCCAGGGATAAGCCAGAGGGAATGCCCTGCTCTCCAACTCCAGCACATCCTGCTGTGAGAGCATGGGGACCTTGCTTTTCAATATAGTCACAAATATAGATTTTTATATTTATATCCTGAGTTTTTTTAAAGTTGAAACAAATTCGAGTTTTTCAAAAACACTATGAAAACTAATTAAACAGGCTCGGCACAGAAAACAGCCCCAAAAGAAAACTAAGTCAGAAGTCATTTCCATTTCCATTCCAGCACTTTGGGGGGCCAAGGCAGGAGGATTGCTTGAGGCCAGGAGTTCAAGACCAGCCTGGGCAACATAGTGTGACCCCATCTCTATGTTTAAAAAAAAAAAAAAAACAGAGGCCAGGCACGGTTGCTCACACCTATAATACCATCACTTTGGGAGGCTGAGGTGGGCGGATCACCTGAGGTCAGGAGTTCAAAACTGGCCTGGCCAACATGGTGATACCCTGTCTCTACTAAAAATACAAAAATTAGCTGGGTGTGGTGGCACATGCCTGTAATCCTAGCTAATAGGGAGGCTGAGGCAGGAGAATCACTTGAGACAGGAAGGCAGAGGTTGCAGTGAGCTGAGATCGCGCCACTGCTCTCCAGCCTGGGTGACAGAGCGAGACTCCTCAAAAAAAAAAAAAATTAAATACATCTGTGGGTCAATCAAGCCTCCAGACCACCGGTTTGCAACATCTGATTTAGCTAGTGAGAAGAGTGCCCCTGTTCCCACTAAAGACAAGGCCTGGTCTGGCCTCTTCACTGTTGTATCCCTGCAGCTAGCCCAGCACCAGGCACACAGTAGGCCCTCAGGGAAGGTTCTGAAGGAAGAAGATATGAATGAAATGCCCTAGCTGCTCCCCAAGGGCCTGGCATGCTGGGGCTGTTCCCAGGTGGCTCAGTGTCCTCCCTTCCCAAGCCCTTCCCCCATACTTCTGGCTGTCACCCACCTGCATGTCCCTCACCCTCCTGGGACTGTAGTAATCGCCATGCTCTGTGCCCAGCAGTGCCTGGCACAGGTTGA